AGGAGGAGGAGGAGGAGGAGGACCGAGCGCCTTTCCCCTCGAAGGGCAGCCGGCTCGCCAGCGAGCGAAAGGAGACGATTTGCCACAATGAAAAAGGAGGGTGGGGGGGGGGCGATATTTCCCCCTCCCCCTCCCTCCCGGAACGTCGTTCTCGAGAGGGGGCGACGTGCGCGTGCCTGTGTTAATTGAGGGGTGGGGAGGGGGGTGGAAGCGAGTCAGAGCCAGCGGATGGAACGCTGGGAGCGTGACGTGTCCCCTCTGGCCGCCGCCCTCCCTGCTCAAGCTATATAAAGGACGCCGCTCACCCCCGTCGGTCTTTTTCGCTACGGGTTTGCCGCTGCTTCGGAGGTGAGTGCTGCTCGACGCCCGCGCGCGCGCGCGCCCGTGCCCGAGGCCTAGCCGCGTTTAGACCTGTGGCGGGTGGCGGGTGGCGAGGGGGGTGCGTGGAAGGCCCGAGGACCGCTTGAGGCGCACGTGCTCCCGGCCCGAGCTAGCCCGCGAGACGGTTCGGGGAGACGGAAGGAGCAGCCACGCACGCTTCTCCTGCGTGGGGGTGGGAAGGGGACCCACGCGCGTGTTTCTCTCTCTCCGCGTCACTGCCCCCCCTCCTCCTTTCCCCTCCCTCCGGATTAGGCGCAACAGGTCCTGCCGCGAGGGCTTCGGTTACAAATCCGGACGGGGCCCATTCATGCCTTCGGGGCGCGAGCCGACAAAGGGGGTTTTATGAGGGAAAAGATTTTGGGAGCGTCCGCCGGGAAACGTGGTTACGGCGGCGGGACGGGGGCCGACTGCACTCGTGGCGCGTGGGCCGGCGGGGGGGGGTGGGGAAGCCTTCAGCTTCGGCCTCGAGCCGCCGAGGGTTCTTCGCCGGGATCCAACCCCGCCGCCCGCTTCTCCGCTTTACACACACACAAAAAAATGGCCGCTCTCAGCGGCGGCTGCTTGCCGCTACCGTCACAAAATGGAGGACGCGGGGCGGGGCGCGCCAACAAGTGTCTCCCTCTCCCCCCCCCCAAACCTCCTCCGCGGCTCGTGCTCGCCTGACCCCCCGACACAAAGGAGCCGCTCGGCCTTTGCCTTCCCCCTCACGCCTGGGATGCCCCTGGCGGGCGGCCTGGAAGCGCTGGAGCCCCTCCCCGAGTCGAATCCCAGTTGTCTCCGTGACCCTCGCCGCCCTGAAGAGGGGGGTGGAGCCGAGAAGCTCGAGGCAGGCCTCGGGCCTAGTCTCGGCCTAGCAGCTCCGGAAGGGAGGGATTAATCTCCCTGGCCGCCCTTCCTTCCACCATGCCCTGATTTACTTCGTTACCAGAGAATTTTAAGTGCGTTTTTTTCCCCCTCTTCCATTGAAAATAAGTATTTGTTTTTATTTTTTTGGCCTTGTGTCCTTCATCCCCTTAAAGGACCTTTATTGGAGCCGACGGAAAAGCCTATCTAACCACCCAACATGGGAAAGGAAAAGACCCACATCAACATTGTTGTCATCGGACACGTCGATTCTGGCAAGTCCACCACCACTGGTCATCTTATTTACAAATGTGGTGGGATCGACAAGAGAACCATTGAGAAGTTTGAGAAGGAAGCTGCTGAGGTGAGTTTGTGGCCTGAAGAACTGTTGGTTTATCTTGTTTTTATATGTAAGGTGCTTGACTTAAAAGTAATTTGCTTTATTTTAGGTATTGCCGCTGAAACCTTATTTAGCATTCTATCTTACTGTACATTACTGTATATGTACATTAGTAATGTACATAAGTAATGTAGTTACAAGTTTCGTAGTGGATTTTATAGATTTTAAGAGAAAGGGATAAATTATATAAGCAAAATGTATGGGAGAAGTGTAACTAGAAAGATAATTGTTATATAGGTATATCATTGTGCTTTGTAAATGTAATGTTACAAGTTGATTAAAAAAGGTATGCATTTAAGTGGATATCTTAACATATTGGCAGATGCAAGGAACTGGATTAGCAGTGTCAAGGGGTTAAGTAAGTGAGAGATAGTTGGAATTCCTCACTAGTTATGCCAGTTGCTTGATCTTCTAAACATAGATTGTGTTTCAGAGCATTAGTGCATGCCTCTTTTGAAAGAGCAACAGCAGTCTTGGAACATTTCGTGCTTTGTGTTAACAAGAATTTTTCTTAATAGATGGGTAAAGGCTCCTTCAAGTATGCATGGGTATTGGATAAGCTGAAGGCAGAACGTGAACGTGGTATCACTATTGATATTTCACTCTGGAAATTTGAAACCAGCAAGTATTATGTCACTATCATTGATGCTCCTGGACACAGAGATTTCATCAAAAACATGATTACTGGTACATCCCAGGTGAGAATTAATGTGAACTTCATCAAATGCAATATTAATTACTTAAAATTATTATTGTATGTTAGAAATAGTGAAGTTAATGACATATTTTCTTGCCTCTCCCAAAGGCTGACTGTGCTGTCCTTATTGTTGCTGCTGGTGTTGGTGAATTTGAAGCTGGTATTTCCAAGAATGGACAAACCCGTGAGCATGCCCTTCTGGCTTACACTCTCGGTGTAAAACAACTAATTGTTGGGGTCAACAAGATGGATTCCACTGAGCCACCTTACAGCCAGAAGAGATATGAGGAGATTGTCAAAGAAGTCGGCACATACATAAAGAAAATCGGCTACAATCCAGATACAGTGGCATTCGTGCCAATTTCCGGCTGGAATGGAGATAACATGTTGGAGCCTAGCTCTAATGTAAGTAATTATCGATAGAGGGGTTTTTTTTGTCTGCAGTCACATTACAAAGTATTGCAAACAATGAATTGTTGTGTTTTTTCCCCCTTTCTAGATGCCCTGGTTCAAAGGGTGGAAGGTGACTCGTAAAGATGGTGGCGCTAGTGGAACTACACTGCTGGAAGCTCTGGACTCTATCTTGCCACCAACTCGTCCAACTGACAAACCTCTACGCTTGCCACTTCAGGATGTCTACAAAATTGGTGGTAAGTATTAACAACAGCAATGTAGCAAATACCTATTGAAAAAGCTTATTAAGGATGTATATTTTACATTTACAATCCTGGCTAGAGAAATTGTATTTCTTTATTTAAGGGATTGGTACCGTTCCAGTCGGTCGTGTGGAAACTGGCATCCTAAAGCCAGGCATGGTGGTGACATTTGCTCCAGTCAATGTTACAACTGAAGTAAAATCTGTTGAGATGCATCATGAGGCCCTAAGTGAAGCTCTTCCTGGTGACAATGTTGGCTTCAATGTAAAGAACGTCTCTGTAAAAGATGTCCGCCGTGGTAATGTTGCTGGAGATAGCAAAAATGATCCCCCAATGGAAGCAGCTGGATTCACAGCACAGGTAACTTGGCAGAAGTTTTACTGTGTCAGTGATTGTAAATTCCACAGATAGGGCGGTATGATTCACTCAAATCTGTTCATAGGTTATCATCCTGAACCACCCAGGCCAAATCAATGCTGGCTATGCCCCTGTTCTGGATTGTCATACCGCTCACATTGCTTGCAAGTTTGCTGAGCTGAAGGAAAAAATTGATCGTCGTTCTGGTAAGAAGTTGGAAGATGGTCCAAAGTTCCTCAAATCTGGAGATGCTGCCATAGTTGACATGATTCCCGGCAAGCCTATGTGTGTTGAGAGCTTTTCTGACTATCCTCCTCTGGGTAAGTGTTGTTAGAAGTATCTTATCATTGTTGTGCTGATATTGTTACTGTCAGGTCAAGGTATAATGAAACTTGGATTTACCAGATCTTGGGGTAGTGGATGCTACATGTAACAGATGAAATCCTTTTCAGATGGTCAAAATTCAGCCGCTTAGCAACTGGTGTGCATTTATGTATTTAGTGTCCTGGAGTCATGTGATCTCACTCAATTGTTATTTAAGTCTGCTTCCGCACTTACTTTGCTTTTTAGGTCACAAAAGGTGAGATTCCAGACCACTAAATACAGCAGTTCTTAAACTGCAGTGATTCACTTAACTGGCAACAAGAGTCATAAAATAGAGCAAAACTGAACTGTTTCTTAGCAACAGAAATGTTGAGCTCAGTTGATCGTAAGTTGAGGACTACCTGTAATATGTCCCTACACAATGTGGATGACAAATCGCTAAAATATACTCCCAATTCACCAGGCATTATCAAATGATGGGTGTGCTATGTCCTATGCAAGAAATTTCATATTAAATTTACTTTTTGATTAAAGTAAAAAATGTTGCAATGTCTCCTCTACCGAAGGAGTTTAATTATGTCGACGGTGCTATAAGACGAAGTGTTTTTAACCAGATGTATTGGGTTGTACTGCTGTTGAAATACCAAGTTAATTGCAACCTCATTTACTCTGGGTAGTGGAGGATCTGAATTGGGAAAAAGAAATTGCTGTATTCCTGTACTTTGAAAGTTATAATTCCTTTTTTCTCCCCCCATTAGGTCGTTTTGCTGTGCGTGACATGAGACAGACCGTGGCTGTTGGTGTCATCAAGGCTGTTGATAAAAAAGCAGCTGGTGCTGGCAAGGTCACAAAGTCTGCCCAGAAGGCTCAGAAGGCTAAATGAAAATTCTGTACAACTGCCACCTCAGTCTTAATCAGTGGTGGAAGCATGGTCTCAGAACTTTTTGTCTCAATTGGCCATTTAAGTTTAATAGTAAAAGACTGGTTAATAATTACAATGCATCGTAAAAGCTTCAGAAGGAAAGGAATGTTTGTGGACCATTTGTTTCGTGACAGTTTCTAAGTTATTAGTTTTTAAAATCGGTAATCTTTTTTTTTTAAATGGAAACAACTTGACCAAAATCTGTCACACATTTTGAGACCATTAAAATCAAAAGTTTAATGCAAAGTCTCTGTGTTCTTTGGGGCTATTGGATACACTTTGATATTCAAAAATGTTGTGCTTTGCAGAGCATTATGGTAGCTAAAAGTAATTATACCTCATTGATTTGGGGAACATGATTGTTTGCAAAAGTATTGCAGCACAGTCTTAAGCGTGATCTTAGTTTTGTGCCAACATTTAAGAATTAGAAAATAGTAGAGTTAAAGCTCAAGTATATTGAAGGTACAACATAACGTTTGTAGATTCAATTTTCATGTTTAATATTCAAAAGCACATGTAGGCAGCGACTTCCGTGTTTCCGTGCTATTAGTATAGGGTAGCGTTTGGTCATTTTAAATGGAATTTTCATTGGAGCATAGTGTGATCATGTTGCAGGTTATGACACAGAAATTCACTTGATAAGAGTATTTTTCAAGTTAATTGCTGCAAGTGAATGGGTGTTAAATCAACTAAAAGATCAAATGCTGTTTTTCTGCTTTATAAGAAAATTCTGAGAGTCTAATGTTTTCCAAGATAATTATACTTCATCTTTAGTATAATTCTCAAATGAAATTACACCCTTCAAAAAAATCATGACCAGTTAAACGTTTAAAATTTTGTTTAAAAGCAATATTGTGCTGAGATTAATCTGTATTCAGGTTCTAGGTGTTATGCCAAAGTTGGTAGTTTAAGTCCTATAGTAAATGAAGTCAATAGTGCCATTTCCTTAGAATAGATCTGGTATTTAAATAGTGCTATCAGAAGAAGACATTGCTATGCACCATTTCGGCTTCAGAATTTTAATTTTCATTTGTGGTATCCTACAGAGATGTGGTCAATAAAAAAATATTGTAGCTTTTGTGGAGCTTCATAAAGGACAATAGCATTTTATATTAACATACATGAACTGTTGGCTATTTTTACCTATACAGCACAAGGTGTGACATGCAGAATAACAAGCTTTTCTATCCTTAAAATACTTGGTTCCTTTCAAATTGTTTTGATGCTCCTGTTACAGCTGAGTATTTTTAAAGAATTCATGGTGAGAGTGAAGCATTGCTCTTTTTAAAATGAGAACTAAAACCTGAGTTTTAAAGTTTGGATTGTACCTTCAGTTTCTCTCCATGTCTGACTACTATAACTGCTAGATAAATGTAACAGTGAAAAAAGTAATGACAACTTGGCAGTATTATTTTCAAGGAATAACAGTTTGAAGAAATGACATGTAATAAGTACTTAGCAAAGCTACTTTCAAACCATGAAAGCCTTAGATTTAAAATAAAGATTAGGGGGAAAAAAGTAATTTCAGAAAGTTATTTTTAACTGTTAGCCTCAAGTGGGCAGATGAAAGTACTGTTGCATTGTCCAGTGGTGTTTTCCATTTGTTATTTAAAAGGGCTTGGACCAAAAAAAAAACCCCACTGAGAAACATTGAAGGCAAACAGCTAAATTGATGAAAGTATTATCAGCAAGTCTGGTTAAGTCCTATGAGCTGCACCCAAAAATATTTTT